ACCAGGCATGAAATGAAACTAGAGATCCCACTCAATTTCCCACTTTTCTTCTACAGGCACCCCAAAAAGTAGCTGTAGCTTATTTTAAAGAATTTGTTATGGAACATTGGTTTTCAGTTTGGAAAATAACCCTAGACAAAAGACAACATGTTTCAAGAATGCAGCATGGCATCATCATACCAATTACCCAATAAGTACAGAATCTGAAGGAAATTAAATTGTCCTGGGACAAACCACTGTGTGCCCTACTCAAGAGGACGAAAGAAGACAGGTCTATTTTTATCCTTTCATAAAACCTCAGTTCCATAAGAGAAGCACTGGTCTCCACTTATCCATTATCAGGAACAAAACGTAATGGTTGTTGATCAAGGTAAAAGTGACTGACAACTCTTTTCCAGAAAAGTTCTGAAACAAGCCTGATCACTCTAGTCCCATTCATAAATCCCGGAAAAGACAGGAGAGGGAAAAACGGAAGGTGTTTCTGGTTGTGGGCAGGGGCAGTAAGACCTCTCCCTCCCTTCTCATGACCCCATCTCCTATGTTGGAGGAAACTCATTCCAACTATGTTGGAATCAGGAGATCCGGCTCCATTACGGGCTCTGAGACTTGGTTTATGTTTTCAACCATGCCCATAAACCAGTCAGGACCCTCGGAACTGTTTTCCTAAATGCAAAGAACTTCGGCACCAGCATGACATAGGTGAGGGAATTAAGGTGCACAGAGGAACAATGACTTGCTCAAACTCACAGCCGAAGGCAGAACTAGAATTCAAACCCGGGTCCATCAGACTCTAAAAGCCCTCGCCAAACGCTCCGTTCTCTCGAGAGTAAATGGAGGAATAACACTGTCTACCCAGCACGGCTCCTGGAAACGTGGAACGATCAGATGAGGGCCAAGCAGCTGAGCATCATTTCCCAAAGCGCCCAGACAGCGTGGAAAATCATTTCCACCTAACTGGAGATGGAGAGCCTGGACCGCAGCCCCGCCGCTGGAGGGCCCTCAGTTCGCCAAGCCGGGCTCCCCCTCCAGACCGCACCCCACGCCACAGACGCCCCTTCGGCCCGCGCGGCCCGGTCCGGGGCTGGGGAGGGGCAGAGGGACGGACGGAGAGCGCATCCCGCCCCAACTCACCTGTCACCCGGGCCGCGCCACGGCGCACGTGTGGGGCCGGCGATCGCGGGCGAGGTCGGCACCCGGGTCCCCACCCCTTCCTCTCCGCACCGGTGCCCCCTCTATCCGCAGCCCCCGATCGGCAGCCGGCGGGACCCCAGCTTCCGCCTCTGGCTCTCCTGGCGGTCACATGACCAGAGGGGCGGAGAGCGGGGCGGGGCGTCACGTGACCGCTGGCGGGCGACGGCTGATGACGTCCGAGCCCGCGCTCGCAGTTTCAGCGACTGGGGAAGGGAGTTGAGGAAGGAGTTGGGGTCCGGGTGTGGGCAGTACGGGTGCAGCCAGACCGAGCTGGGTCGGGCATCCAGGTAAGGCGGCAGCGGGGGGTGGCGACGGCGAGGGTGGCGGGAGGGGTCGCCTCCCTCTCGGACGCTCCGCGGGTGCCTGAGCTGGGGTCTGTCCGCCTGGGCTGTGGTCCTGGCTCTTTGCACGTCGAGCAGTGAGGCTCGGGCGGGCTGCCTCCCTCCCTGAGACGCCATCTCTCCATCCTTCGACCCGAGTGGGGGAAAGTTCACGAGTTCTTGATGCAGATTAATCTGGTTTGAGCTGTCTTTAAAAGCAGGGCCTCGGACAGGTCGTTCAAATAAGCTCTCTGGGCCTCAGTTTTCCTTTTGTCTTCTATAAATGGTTGTGAACCTTCGCGATAGTGAGAATGAAGCGCCAGGGCAGCAGTTTATGCGCAGTGTAGGGGACCTCGGAAAGGTGGTTGCTGCTTGTGTTGTGACTCTCCTCAGTTCTTTATTGATCGCCTGTTTGGCATGAGGAACGGTTTTCTGTGCTGTGGAACATGTCGGAGTTGTAGTTTAAGCTGCTCGCAGGGGGAAGGAGTGACAGCCATGTGAACAAATAGTTGTGATGATCGTACTGAGTTTTATAAAGAAGTGTATGTGTATTTGAGGGAGAGAGGGGGGTCGTACTAGCATGAGGGAGGGGACAAGCAATTGCTTGTACGGATCAGAGAAGGTTTCATAAAGAAAGATGTATCCTTGCATCTTGAAGAAGGAGATACAGCTCTGCGTGGACTCGTACAGGCCCCCGTGATTTGAAGGAGATTCAGCATAATGTCTATAAATTGTTTGCTCTTTGCCTCCCACTGTCCTCTGCAGAAAGATGAGAGAGGGAAACAGTAATAACTGGTCCTGCCTGAAGCCAGTCTTAGCCCTGCTGGGGTCTGAGTATGTGTGTCTTTCTGCTTCCCCCATTCATAAGTTGAAATGCTAGTACCAGTGTGATGGCATTAGGAAGTGGGGTGTTTGAGAGGCGCTTAGGTCATGAGGGTGGAGCCCTCTTGAATGGAATTAGTGCCTTTATAGAAGAGGCTCCTGAGAGCTCCCTTGCACCTTCTACTGGGTGAAGACAGAGTGAGAAGGCACAGGGCCTATGAACCAGGAAGAGGGCCTTCACCAGAACTTGACCCTGCTGGCACCTTGGTCTTGGACTTCGCAGCCTCCAGAACTGTTGTGAGATAAATTTCTCTTGTTTATAAGCTACCCAATCTGGTATTTTGTTACAGCGGCCAGAATGGCCTAAGACAAGGCCTGTTAGGGGAGGCAAGATAACATGCTTGGGAAAAACTCAGGAAACCTTGTTTTAAACTTTTTTGGAAACCATAGATAGGTACAGGGAACAAAGAGATTATTGTTATTGGGGAAGGCTCTAAGAGGAGGTTGATTTAAACCAAGGTTTCTCAACAACTGCATGATTGACAATTTGGGCCAGATGATGCTTTGCGGAAGGAGGTGTCCTGTGAATTATGAACTTAGCTGTACTTAGTAGGAGAAAGAGGGAAAAGTGCGTCTACTCCATGTAGTCCCTTTGCTTCTCAATCTGAATCTTTTCCCTGGAAATACTCCAGAATTACAGAAGGAAGGTTTTTCCCAAGGTCTCTGCAAATGTAGAATTTCGTTAGAGTAGTGTGAATTTTGCATGCACATAATAAGGATAGCTACTATGTGGTAGACATTCTCCACTTAGCTTGGATTATATTATTCCTTATATGCATTGTTTGTTTTGTCAGCTCCATCTGCTATTAAAAAATAGTGTAGACTGGAGGCTTAAACAACAGAAATTTATTTGCACAGTTTTGGAGACTAGAAGTCAGAGATTGGGGTGCTAGCATGGTTGGATACTGATAAGCGCTGTCTTTCTGGCTCTCAGTCAGCCCCCTTCTTGCTATGTCCTCACTTGGTGGAGAGAGAGAACTGCGGTGTCTCTTCCTCTTCTAATAAGGACACTAATCTCTTCCTGAGGGCTCTACCCTCAGGGCATCTAAACCTAATTATCTCCCAAAAGGCCTGGTCTCCAAATACCATCACAATGGGGGTCAGGCTCTCAACATAAAATTTGGGGGCAGATGCAGTTATCTCAGTGTTCTCCATGCCTGTTTGATTCTAAGAATCACCTGGGGCAATTCATAAAAATACGGGTTTCCTCGTAGTGTCCACCAGGGACTCTGGTTCAATAGGTCTGAGATAGTACCTATATATAAATCTATATTTTTAATAAGATTTCAACGATTCTTAAGATCAGACAAGTTTTAGAAAACTGTAACATTTAATTTACCTTCAATGATGCTGTGAGATAGTTACTTCCTTTTTACACGAGAGCAGATTGAAGATAGAGAAGGCAAGCAACTTAACCAGGGTTGTGCAATTTTAAATGGCATGGGGGGGACAGAATTTCCAGGCATCTTTGTCCAGTGTCCATTCTCTCAAGCACTACTCCGTATTTTTGCTTATAGTGTTATAATGATGAAGTTGATGTTAAAATTTGCTTCCACTTTTAAAGATTTATGTGCTGGGCCTTATTCTGAGTGTTTTATTGTATACTTTATCTCATTCAGTTCTCACAGTAATCCTTGAGGTTGGCACTGGATGATTCCAATTTTAGGAAGGGAAAAATGAAACACTAAGAGGTTAAATAATTTGCCTGAAGTCATTCAGTTACGTGACAAAAAGACACAAAAGTGATGTGTCTTTGTGTGATTTTGTTTATTCTGTCTAGTGTTCTTTAAGCTTTATGGATTTGTGGGCCTGTAGTTTTGATTAAACTTAGAAAAATTTCTGCCACTATTTTTTTTTTTTTTAATTTATTTTGAGAGAGAGAGCGTGTGTGCTTTGAACTCAGATAGTCTGGTTCTAGAAGCTGTATGCTTGACCCTTACTCCATATCGCCCCCGTATTTTACTCTATAATGTAGAGAAATTCTGCTTTTACTGACAGAGTCTGGGATCTAACCAAGTCTGTAAATCTGTTAGAATCCAGAGGACTGTCAGGAATATATACAATATCTATATATAATATATGTTTTTTAATTTATATTTATATATTTATAGTTTTCAGAATTCAGTATGCATATATGTCAGGTAAGTTAAAAAACTACAGGTTTCGAAGTTCTCCTTATTAAACTATTTTATTATTACCATTTTCAGTTTTTAGAAAAATGCATCATACAAGTAGTCTACTTTTTCTAACCCCTTTATGTTTTAGGTTTTTAAGAACTGTGTTGTTGTTGAATTCTTCAGAGAACCAAGGAATGTTTTGAAAGAGGGTATTCTCCCTCCTTTGAAAAATGCAGACACTTAGCTTCCCTGTGTATTGAGTGTATCTGTGTTTGGTGGCCCAGATAACAGCACAATGCTTTGGTGTCCCCTCCAGGGATACAGAATGTATATAATAGTGTGGCACTTGTGGGCTATTAGATACTCATATGGATGTGTATAGCAGTGTTATTTTCCTATGCAGTTATTATTCTGACTCCTAAATATTATTTCATTGTGTTTGAAAACTTAGGTAATAATTTCAAGATGCCCGGACGTTCCAGTTCCAGTTCAGGTTCAACTGGTTTTATATCCTTCAGTGGTATAGAATCTGCTCTCTCCTCTTTGAAAAACTTCCAGTCCTGTATCAGCTCTGGAATGGACACAGCTTCTGGTGTTGCCTTGGATCTCGTGGAAACTCAGAGTAAGTAACAATTAAAACTTAATTCTTTTGTGTCTACTTTGGGATAACCCTGTATGGAGGCATTACTCTAGGGATGTGAGATACTGCTGACCTTTCAGGTGTTCTTGGGATAGTCATTTCATCCCTCTGGGCATCGGTTTTCTCATCTTTGTTCTACATACACCACAAAACGATGTACTGAGGATGAAATGAGCTTGATTCATTCGTGTGTCTTCAGATGGTTACGTGCCAGTAGAAACTGCACTGGAGACTTACAGGCTGAAACATGAAGGTTCCTGATCTCAAGGAGCATACAATCTAAAGTATGTGAGATTTGTGAACTGTGAACTGTAAGGTATGCAAATGCATTAATATAAAGTTATAATAAAGTCATTTTGCAATAGTCTAACTGTTCATTCTTGATTACTTGGTAGACAGACGAAGCTTATGCTAGGGATACGGGCAAAGGAAGGCCTCTTCTAAAATAGAAGAATTCAGCTTTGATGAACTTTATCAACATTTTTCGATCAGAAGACTTGGAAAACTGTTAATTTGCTTTCTTTGGATTAGGGTTGTTTTTATTTTATATTATATGGAGGCAGGGGAGCAACAGTATTTTTGTGTCGTTTTTAATATCACTGGTTTTCAACGATTTGATTGTGATGTGTCTTTGTGTGATTTTGTTTATTCTGTCTGGTGTTCTTTAAGCTTTATGGATTTGTGGGCTTGTAGTTTTGATCAAATTTAGAAAAATTTCTGCCACTATTTCTTTTTTCTTTTTTTTTAAATTTATTTTGAGAGAGAGAGACAGTGCATGTGCAAGCAGGGGGAGGGGTAGAGGGAGAGCGAGAATCTCAAGCAGACTCCATGCTGAGCGCAGAGCCCTACCCAGGGCTCGATCCCATGAACCTAGGATCATGACCTGAGCCAAAATCAAGAGTCGGATACTTAACTGACTGAGGCACCTAGGCGCTCCTGCCACTATTTCTTCAGATAGTTTTTTCGTCCCTCTTCTTGTGAGACTCTAATTATATGTGTGTTAGACAGCTTGATAATGTCCTATAAGTCATGAGGCTTGGTTGATTTTTTTTCCGGGTCTTTTTTTTCTGTCTGGCTTTAGTTTTAATAGTGTCTGTTGCTATGTCTTCAGGTTCATTGGTCTTGTCTTCTGCAGTCTCTGTTGTTAATTTTGTGCAATGAATTTTAAACTTCAGATACTGGATTTTTCAACTCGACATAAAAAATTAAATGGAATCTTCTGTCTTCTATTTCTCTTCATTATGTTCAGGTTTTCCTCTGTATTCTTGAGTATATGGAGCCTATTTATAATAGTTGTTTTAATATCCTTGTCTGCTAATTCTGTCATTCCTGTCGCTGCTTCTTCACATGGACATTGTGTGTATTATGTTGTTGAGTGTTTGGATTTTGTTGTCTTCCAATCAAGAATTATGGCATTTGTTTTGGCAGGCATCAAAGTAATTTGTGGATTAGGCTAATCCTTTCCAGGCTTGTTGTTAAACTTTGTTAGTGCAGGTCAAGTTAGTGTCAATTTATTTTAGGGCCAATTCAGCCTGGTTACAAAGCTTGGCCTTTCTGCATCTCTGTCTATTGCCCAGAGGGTTCTGTGAGATAGCCCTAGTGTGGGTGGAATTCGAAGGTCTCCTGGTGCTGGGTGAATCCTGGGAATTGTTCACTTTATAGCTCCCAGCAAGTGTTTCTCAGCGGTTTAGGATTGAGGAGATCTCTGCAGATCCCTAGAGTACTGTCTCTGCGTAGCCCCCTCCTGGTGCTCTGTCTTGAAAACCTCTGATGTCTTAGCTTCCCCGAACTCCAGTCTCTCTCTCCTGGTCCTTCAAGACTTTCGTTCTCTGCTTGGCTTCTTCCTCCTTTGTGCAGGGAGGCAGGCGACTGCAGGACTTACCTGACTTGTTTGTCCCTTTCTGTGGGGCTCACGGTTCTGCTCTGCCTGTGGTCCCGCTGTCTGAGAGCAGCGGTCTCATATATTTTGTCCAGCTTTCTAGTCCTCACTGCAGGACAGCCAGTTCCATACCAGTTGTTCATTTGTGGCCAGCAGCAGAAGTCACCCATAATTTTTAGTGGGTAACCTCGCAGGGTCTTAACCCTCCCCAGCCTGATCTGTAGTCTATTTTTGGATCTTTGGTAGGTGACCTGGATAAAGGTCATAATAAAATCTTCAACCATAAGAAAGAACAGCTGGAGTATAAACCAGTTGACTGTGTTGTTGGACAGCAGTGAATGGATTGGGAGAAATTAAAGTGCAGAAGAGCATGTGGGAAAGTCCATGAATCATCTTCATAGCAGAACGATTCCCTTTTCCTCTTAGCCTTATAAGATTAGCACCCTTTCTGTTTACCTTTTGGGTTCCCCAATTTCATCACAAATTAAAATGAGGTTTGTTGGAAGAGGTGGTAGTGATCACTTAGGTATCATTTTCTCACTTTGTACTGTATATCTCTTGTTGCTATATTATTAAATTGTTGGTAAAGGGGATTCTTGTTCCCAAGCACTTGGAAGGGGTGACGTGTATTGTTTTGGTATATTCCTATACCAGGTTGCTGTCCCTATTCAACTTCTAGCTCATTTGAAATGATCACTTTTCCCTGTGTTATGTTATAGTGTGTGGTGTCCAAGCAATAGACTCTTACTGCCACCATGTCTATTTTTTTTTCTAAATGTGTTGGTATTCTGGGAATACTTTCTTATTTACCTAATAGTAAAATGAAATTTGTTGCATTAGGAGATTTTTCAAGTAGCTGGGGCTTATTTTTCAGATTTTTAAATTTATCATATACTTTTCTGCTTTCTGAGGCAGAAGTACTGACTTAATTTACCAAAATTGTTGTTGTAATTATCATCTTTAAGCAATTAAATTTTCAGAAGCCCTTTAAGTTTAGTTAAATAAAATTGAGGAATGGCCCTGTTCTAAAATGTTAATGTACCTCCTGTTGTGGCCTCTTCTTATGCCTCCATGCCAGTAAAGGAAGGTTTGAAAAGAACAGGGTTTGTTTTTTTTAAGATTTAAAAAAAATTTTTTTAAATTTTTTATTAGAGAGAGAGAGCACAAGCAGGGGGAGTGGCAGGCAGAGGGAGAGGGAGAAGCAGGCTACCTGCTGAGCAGGGAGCCCGACGTGGGGCTCGATCCCAGGACCCTGGGATCATGACCTGAGCCGAAGGCAGACGCTTAACCGTCTGAGCCACCCAGGCGCCCCGGAAAAGAACAGTTTTTCAGAAACTCATCCTATTGAGGGCAATTGCTCTTAAAAGGTTAGAATTAAATAGTTCGTCTCTGTATATTTAAAGTAATATTTTTAAAGTACAAAATCAAAAGTAATCAATAGAGCCAAGTCTTTGAACTTCCTTTATATACTTATGCCACTTGTATTCATGTCTGTGATGTTACCTGTCATACTAGAGGCTTGGGTTTGCAAGGCTAGCTTTTCAGAGTTGATTTTTTCCCCTCCTAAGTGATAGGTTTGCAGTTTGAGCCACAGGATAAGGGATGGCACTTAATTGTGATGATGTGGAAGTGGCCATACTGATCTCTTGATTCAGTTTTTTTTTTTACTTCAAATATGTAACTCTTTAATTTTGAGTAAATAGATACTTATTAAAATTCAGAGTTTTTTTTTTTTCAAAGAAAGGCATACTATAAAGCTGAATTTAAAGATTTAATTATTTGTTTGAGGGGGGAGGGGTAGAGGGAAAGAAGAAGCAGGCTCCTCACTGAGCTGGGAGACGGATGCGGGGCTCAATCCCAGGACCCTGAGATCATGACCTGAGCTGAAGGCAGACACTTAATGGACTGAGCCACCCAGGCGGCCCTATAAAGCTGAATTTAAAGAAATGCAAACTTGTAGATAGATTATGGGACTGCTCTTACTGAACCCTAGGTGTTTTAAGTTCCTTTTGGATAAACAAGTTCTCCTCTAAGACCTAAGTAGAAAAGAAACAGTTTAGCAAGGCTTCATCAGATCTGCTTTTCTCCTGATTATTTTGTAACATAATTGCACAGAGCAGATATATACAGTGGACTTTTCTGTGGCATCTATTTTCATTAGGGTAGATGATTCTTAATTTAAAAAATCACCAATATTCAGGGCGCCTGGGTGGCTCAGTTGGTTGAGCATCCAACTCTTGATCTCGTCTCAGGTCATGATCTCGGGTCTTGGGATCCAGCCCCATGCCAGGCTCTGCACTCAGTGGGGAGTCTGCTTGAGGATTGTCTCTCTCCCTCTCCCCCTCTTCCATCTTGTGTGTGTGCTCTCCCTCTCTCTCTCTCTGTCTCAAATAAATAAATAAATAATAAATGTTTAAAAAAAGAAATATCTTGGGGTGCCTAGGTGGCTCAGTCGGTTGAGTGTCTGCCTTTGGCTCAGGTCATGATTCCAGATTCCAGGGTCCTGGGATCGAGTCCCACATTGGGCTGCAGGGGAGCCTGCTTTTCCCTCTGCTCGTATGCTCTCTGTCTCTCACTTACTCTGTCTCTCAAATAAAGAAATAAAATCTTAAAAAAATTAAAAGAAATCTTTTAAAAATCACCAATATTCTACCTCCTTGGCTTTTCATGTGTTAGATGAACCCCACCCCCACTTAAGATACAGTAACATGCCATATCCTGATATCCTGAAACCAGTTAATCTTTTTCTTTGTTTCATGGAGTCTTTTTGCATTTATATTGTATTTTGCTTTGTTAATGTGTCTGATCTTCCCTTTGAATCTGGTCTCCTGGGGCAGAGACCTCAGAGAGCTCATCTCACATTTTCAGAGGCTTAATGTTCATCAGGTGTTGAATGTATATAAATTAGTTAGTAAGACTCTTCTCCAAATAGAGATATTTGGATCCACTATATAGAAAATTAAGTTGTTTTCCAAAATTAGAAATTGAGCACTTCTGTTAATTTGTAAGCCTAATTTTTTTAAGACTTTGCATTTAATTTTTGTGTAAGAGCTAATTAATCCCGTGGTTCTCAAACCTGAGGGTGCATCAGAACCACTTAGAG